AAATGGTTCACCCTGTATAGGCATGCTGACTCTAGTTGTCCTAATATAATGCTATCTGACCATGTGCGTCATGTTTTTTATCAAATAAACAATGGATTGAGAGATTTTCAGCTGTCATGAAATTCTTTCATCGCGATTATTTTTTTACACATTCAAAGGTGCGTGAGCGTAGCTTGTCCCGCTACCTGACTTGCTGACTCGAGTATAGTTATATACATCACAAATACAAGCTTATATTACATTTTCAGCTTTCATGAAACTCTTGCACTTTTTTGGCGCTGACTCTCCGACTATAAACGATATTAACATCTTAACAATTGATACAAATAAATGGTTGCTATCAGGAACCGTTGTTTGTATCAAAAATTAGCATGAAAACCATGTATACAATAACATGGGAGAATTATCGCTGTAATTCTCTCTAGTTAAACAAATGGAAAAGAGAATTTTCGCTGTAAGTAATTCTGAAAATCGTCACTTGTCTTATGGGATTTCTAACACATGAGTGGGATAATCGAATTTATTCCATTTGGCTGATACACACTGTACATAATAATGTAATGTGAAATAAATAAATTAAATAAATAAATAAATAAAAGAGCTTCGCTACTTTTCCTGAACTTGGACATTCTTAGGTTTTCCTGGATCTTGGAATCCCGGAGGCATATTCATTTTCTGCCAACGTAATAGGACCTTCGGCTGCATTCGTGTTCGTTCGAGCACAGTTTAGGCAAATTATGATTGAAGTGGACTAACGTTGACAGTTTAGAGCCTGCCTGGCGTTCGGGAAAATATTCTCTAAATAAATTCAGTTGGAAAGTGGCAGTTATTGTTAGCTGTTGGTACGTTTTAATGCGAAATGGGATAACGAATGAAGAAATAAATTTATTGAAAGTTTGAAAATTAATCATTGTGTATATTCAAAGGCCCCAGAACTTTTTTGGTAGATTTGAGTTAGTTTCGGTTGGTTTGCGAATTACGTTAGTATGGGATATTTTTGGTTGGTTTGGGTTAATTTTGGTTGAAAAACCGCACTTTTTTTTTTTTTACGGATAGGCGCTGTTCCTTTCTATTTCCTTTTTTCAAGCAAGTACATGAAAAGTACCTACCTTATCCAAATTAATCCAAACTGACCCGTGCTGGAAATGCGACCCAATCTGTTTCTGAAGCTGATCAAATAGCAAAAAAAGAGCGCGTATAAAAATAGAGCTCATGTATGTTTCTCTGACGTTGTCCGACAGAAACAAAGTTCAGCTGAACATTTATTTTACAACAACAAGAAGAGAAAAAAATCTTTTGTATTTTGAACTTTTCATATTTTCGACAATTTGCATTTTCGACATTTCCCAATTTTCACATTTGCATTTTCTTATTTCATTTTTTTTTTAGCTCACACTCTATAAAATAGTTAGTTTCCATCGGGTAGTTCTAAAGACATCGGTAGATCTATCTACCACAATATTATGCCATTCATTGTTTTAGCTGAAATTTTCATGTAAATAAAATTATTATCTTTTATCTTCTCTTCCCTCGAATAAAAAACACATATTGGACCTAATTATCAATAAAATGCTTGCAACATACAGTCACATGAAGTGCCAACGTCTGGTTGCGATGCTCATATTCTGCTAACGCTTCATGGCGCAGGGCACGAATCTAGCCGAATATCAGTTGCGTTGGCAAAAAATGAATATGCATCCCGGAGACCATCAATAAAGGTAGATACTGCCATTCATTCTTGTATGTCTTCCCCAGCTGAAGGAAACGCCAAACTCACTAGCCTTTTAACTTCTGATTCGAATTTTTGTAAACTCTCGCCGGGTTTTTGAATTCATGATTTGACTTGAGTTCTAAATACTTCTTGCCTATAATGATCTCCGAAGCGCAATTCTAAGTCTGACTTAGATGCTGGTAATTCTGTTGGTAGACTGAAGGAATGGACTGAAGAAGGTCTAAGGCAGGTCCTCGTAGCGCCACTATTAGTGCTGTAGTTTTTTCTTGGTCGAACGATCCGTTTTATCTTCATGCCAGAGAATGCTCCAAAACTAGCTGGATTGATGGACTGTATTTCTAATCTACGCATCTTATCTTCGAGTGCTTGAACTTGGTCCTCAACTTCTTGTCTTAATTGCTGAACATCGACTTTGACCTCAGCTTTTATTCCCTGAACGTCGTGTTTAACTTCTCGAACATCGTCTTTAACTTCTTGAATATCGTCCTTAACTTCGGCTTTTACTTCTTTAATTTTTTGTTCTAGGTTAGCGACAGATCCTTGTCTGGTTTGAAATATTTTCTGCAGTTGTCCAATGTCTTCTTGTCGGTCTTGTTGTCGACTAGCTTCTTCGTCTTGTTTTTCTTGTTGTCTTCTGACCTCTTCTTGTTGTCGTCTAGCTTCATCGTCTTGTTTTTCTTGTTGTCGTCTGGCTTCCTCGTCTTGTTTTTCTTGTTGTCGTTTGGTCTCTTGAAGTTCCAACATTTTGCGCAGAAGTTCTTCAACTTTTTGTTCGTCCATTTTTGCTTGATGTCTTGTGATAGGTATATACAGAACGTTCTAGAATTTCCCTCGAACTTTCTTCAAATATCTTTTCTGGTCTTTGCTCGAAGTTCCAAACACGTCGGTGAGGTCACAAATTGGATAACTTGCTTTATTCTAGAATATAATGTTCTGGAATTTTTTTGAATTTTTTTTTCTAGATGTCGATTGATACAGCAAACACGTTGGTGAAGTCACAATTTCGATATATCCCTTGGTTTCCAAATAGAATGCTCTAGAATTCTCCCAAAACTCCTCGAAAAACTTTTTCTGAATGACGATTGATGTTCCGAATACCGGCGAAGTCCTAAATTCGATATCTCCCTTAGTTTCCAAATAGAATTTTCTAGAACTCACTCGAATATTCACTATCACAGTCAAAATCGGCTATACACCATTTCAACCTCAGTTTCGGAAAAAGTAACTTTCATTTAGGAAAATGTAAAGTCATTTTCGGAAAAAGTCAAATCAATTTCAGAAAAAGTGAAGTTAATTTCGGAAAAAGTAATTTCAAATTCGGAAAAAGTAAATTCAAATTCGGAAAAAGTAAATTCAAATTCGGAAAAAGTAAATTCCGAATTTAAATTCACTTTTTCCGAATTTGAATTTACTTTTTCCGAATTTGAATTTACTTTTTCCGAAATTAAATTTACTTTTCCTACAATCGCCCTAGAAAGCAGGCTTTGTCGATTAGATTTGTGATCGCAAAGTAGGCGTTTCCTGATGACCTTTACTTTGCCGCTCTAGAGCGACAAAGTACTAAAAACGCTCGCTTGTAAATTTTGTATTTTCCCAATTTTTTATTCCCACTTTTTTTTTCCCCGACCATTTTTTTCCCCGACCATTTTTTTTCACGACTTTTTTTTTCGCGACAATTTTTTTTCCCGACCATTTTTTTTCACGACTTTTTTTTTCCCGACTATTTCTTTTCCCGGCAATTTTTTTTCCCGACTTTTTTTTTCCCGACTTTTTTTTTTCCCGACTTTTTTTTCTCGTTTTTTTTTTCTCGACATTTTTTCTTCCCGGCCAATTTTTTTCCCGACCGACTTTTTTTTTCCCGACCATTTTTTTTCCCGACCATTTTTTTTCCCGACTTTTTTTTTCCCGACTTTTTTTTCCCGACTTTTTTTTTCCCGACTTTTTTTTCTCGATTTTTTTTTCCGAATTTCTTTTTTCCCAATTTTTTTTTTCGCATTTTTTTTCCCCGACAGAAATAAACTGGTTTCTTTCAATTATTTTTCTGTTAAATGCGATTGTAGAAAAAATCATGTGTGTATTACGAGCGAAAAGTGCCTTTGCCAATCTCAAGATATTGCCGCGCTCCGCTCATCTTTCGATCGGCAAAGTACCACTTTGCGCTCTTAACACACAAATAGCTATTTTCTGAAATTGATTTGACTATTTCCGAAAATGACTTTACATTTTCCTGAATAAAAGTTACTTTTTCCGAAATTGAGGTTGAAATGGTGTAGAGTCACTTGCGGGGTAATTCACACGATCGGTTGAGTCTCGCAATTGGATTTCACTCTGCAGTCCTTTATATCTCACTTCTGACACCAATTGTCACGGCTTTGGCTTGCCTGACAGAAATCTTGGGTTCGTTTCGTTTATTCCAAAAATCAAAGTCCAATTGACGTGTCTCGTAATATCTTGTGTGCGCGCGCAACTCGTGGGTTGCAGGTGAGTTTCCAATGAAAATCAAGTTTGTTACGGGCTTGCGTCATATTCGTATTCAGGGACGAGCTCAGAATTAATCGTTCCTTCTTTCTTTGTAACGTGTAATTCAACAAATAGCAAACTAATACTTTACGTATTACTTGAACTTATACCAGTGTCATTTAAGGTTATGTTAGATTATACTTGACATATTCTTTTGAAGTTTCATTGTTCGATGTTGCCGGATGAAATATTTATCAAAATAAAAGTGCCATGGATGTTAACATACACTTTAAAGCTCTTCTTTTGTCTGATTTAAGGTGTTGTGAAACACTTGACAATATATCACTTGCCTAATGTTATAATGTTCGATTTGTATTGTCTGCATTTGTTCTGCAACAATACAATCTGGCTACACTGCAGCCACGAGTTGCGCGCGCATGTCATTTTCTATTACTTTTTAACTTGTATTTATTACAATTAAGCTCTCTTTTTCTATTTCTGCGAGACACGTCAATTAATAGGTACAGCAATAATTTATTCCACGTAACAATACACTCTGACACCAATTACTTTAATAACTAAGTCAACAATTAAACTCTTTACAACAACAATCACTATTTAAATCGTATCACAGTCGAACTGAAACTTAAACTCACAAGCTAAAACCCGTCCTTATATATAGCCGTAATTCATTCACGCAAATTCCAGAAGAACCGCGATCGACCTTGTTCCCGAATATCAACTTAAAATCTCGAATCAGCTATTCAATTCTGTACAGGATTCTTGACACACTGGCGGCCGTCACACTATTATTGTTTGATTTTATCTGAAAACCTTTTCTAATCAAGTTTATTTGGTTTAAGGATCATTTTGCTCCTGAGATGTGGGAAAAACCTCGTGTGGATGGCAAAAGAGTGTTGAAGTGTAATGCTGTTCCTACAATTTTTGCTTCTTCCTCTACACAGCCAAGAAGCCAAAGAAAACCTGTTTCTCAAAAAAAGTCCCACTTTTTACATGGTAAGTGCTTACTTATACATTTGGCTAATGTGAATTGTTCAAATAAAATCAATATGTAACTGTTCAGTTTTTTTGAAGGAATTGTCTACACCATTTCAACCTCAATTTCGGAAAAAGTAACTTTTATTTAGGAAAATGTAAATTCATTTTCGGAAAAAGTCGAATCAATTTCAGAAAAAGTAAAGTTGATTTCGGAAAAAGTAAACTCAAATTCGGAAAATGTAAATTCAAATTCGGAAAAAGTGAATTCAAATTCGGAAAAAATACATTTAATTACGAAGAAACTAATGTGTATTTTTAGAATGATTTGAATTGATGAAAAATAAATTTAGCACTGATTATTTTGATATATTTTCAAATATTGATTGTCAAAGTCAAACTTCTTTTTTTTACTACTTACCTGAGAAATAGTCATTATTCAATCTATTTTTCTAGGAAAAAATTGAATTTCTCTCCCTAGGTGAATAATGAAAATAATGAAAAAGTCCCTAGGTCAATAATGAAAATGACGTCATGACGCAAGGATATTGTCATGTTTCTATTGGTCCAATTTCAATTTCATGCGTCAATTTAAAACAAAATACAGGTTTCTGTAGGTACATAGGAAGTTATCATAAGCTGTTGATAGAGGGCAGCACTTTCAAGAGGGCGTTCAAAAAAAAATAATTAGGGCACAGATTTTAAGCAAATTTTTTATATTCTACTAGCAGTAGTAAAAAAAATTGTATATATTCCTCGGTAGAGAAAGTCATTATATACCTCACGCATTATAAACCTCGGCGCTTTGCGCCTCGGTTTATAAAAGCGCTCGGTATATATAATGACCAACTTCTCTACCTAGGTATATAATATACTATTAAAAATTTCCATTTTCTACAAGTAAAGTTTAAAAATTTTAAAAGATGAGCGATATTTCAACATCTTCGGAAGAAAATGTCGAGGTTCATCAGCCAGATCAGCGCCAGCATCGACAGATCCGCGGACGGTACACGAAGATATCCAGCGAGTGTAGAAATCGCATTTTGCGTGAAGCAGAAGCCGGCGGTAATTGGAAAGCCATTGCGGAAGCCAATGGTGTCAAATACAAAACCGCACATGACTGGTTGAGAAAAGGATCACTGGAAAGAAAAAATCGCGGCGGAAAGCGGCGTTCTATCCTTTCTCCAGAAGTTATTGATGAAATAATTGGATGTTTGGAAGAAAACTGCCAACTAACTCTTCGTAGTATAAGGAACAGACTTCAAAATGAAAGGGATATCGTTCTCTCAACAGACTATTTCTAAACACCTGGATGGTCGGTTGATGACCATCAAACAAACACATGCAATTCACCAGGGAGTTAATGCTGAAAATAATAAACAATTACGGAGAATTTACGTTGAAAATTTGTTGGAGTACATCGGAGCTCAAAAACACATATTTTTTATTGATGAAACGAATTTTAATTTCGAGGAGAAGTACTGGACGAGCCATTCGTGGACGGCCGGCCGTAGTGAAGGTTCCAAATAGCAAGGGGCCTAATTTACATATAATTGGTTGCATGTCATCGACTGGATTTGATTATTGGGAAAGAAAACGGGGAGCTTTTAGAAGGGAAGATTTCAGAGATTAGATTCGACGATGTCTGAGGGCTTATTGTGTAATAAATAACGGTCATAACATGCAGGACATTGTAATTGTTTTGGATAATGCTCCAGCGCACTCCCGGGTTGAAGAAATTCTCGATGAAGAGGAGTTTAGTGGGGCTAAATTTTGCCGGCTTGCGCCCTACAGTCCCATGCTAAACCCGATTGAATATGTCTGGAGTGCTGTGAAATCAAGCATAAAAACACAACTGCAAGAAACATTTAACATTCTCATGGCTGGAGATCAAACAGGTCTTCTAACTCGGGCAGAGTTTCGTCTAAGATATATAGAAAATCTAGCCGACATCGCTCTTGGACAAATTAATGCTGGAGTTTGTGTCCGATCCTATAACCACGTCCAGAGGCATTATCCTTTAGTCATGAGACTGGATGATATGAATCCAGGAACATAATATTTAAGATTTTGTATGTTAAATACTTTTTGCGATTTTTGTGTTATTTTGTCCGTAATTGTTTTATTTATAATGTGTTATTTTTTCCGAATTTGAATTTACTTTTTCCGAATTTGAATTTACTTTTTCCGAAATTAACTTTACTTTTTCTGAAATTGATTTGACTTTTTCCGAAAATGACTTTACATTTTCCTAAATAAAAGTTACTTTTTCCGAAATTGAGGTTGAAATGGTGTAGAGTCCCGAACGCGGGATCGCTAGAAAAACGCAAAATCCCGAAAAGGCGTGGCTAAATAATGGCGTTCGGGACTTTCCAAAAATAATCATCGGGACCATGGTAACAAAAGTAAACTCCCGAATTCGTAATAATTCTTTATGTATTATTTGTTTATTCTATACACCTAGGTTAGATTAGCCAACTGTTGTGTTTTGGGCAGTTTTGGCTGGAAATTTGTACTTAGGTATCCTTTATTATGGGGTTAAATACAAATGACACATTTGGTTCATGTAAAGAATTACAAGATTGATTTATATGAGAAAGAAAATAGGGTGCAATTTTGGAAACGGGATGCAAAAACTATCACATCCGCGAAGCATCATGCCCCTAATTGATACAAGACGGTTAAAGATAAACCTGATATAAGATGAAAATATGAAATAATCCCTAATCATGAACAAGTTGTTGTTGATACCCCTATCGAGACTTATGAGATTCAGGACTATGATGAACAAGAACAGTAATTTGAAAATTCTGAAATAATCCCTAATCATGATCATGAACAAGTTGTTGTTGATATACCCCTATATCGAGACTTATGAGATCCACATGGACTATGAACAAGATCAGTAATTTCCAAAAAATATATTTTTACCAGTACCTACCTAGTTAAGTGGTAATTTATCGTGATTGGTATATAGAAAGTCGAGGCAGACCTAGAGGCAAGAATTTAGCGGCGATAGATCTGCCAGCTAAAAAGAAAAGATGTACAAAATGAGATGTCAAAGTTTCTTTTCCATATTGTTTACTTAGAAGAAATACACGATATTTGTTTTTTGCTACTTCCTTGTTTTTCTATGATTTGTCTGATAAAATTATAAGTCAGGACTAGTCGGGAGTTTACTTCTGTTACAAAAGTCCCGAGGTCGGGATTCTAATAATTTTTGGAAAGTCCCGAACGCCGTTATTAGTCACGCCTCTTCGGGATTTTGCTTTTTTCTAGCGATCCCGCGTTCGGTACTCTAGACAGTTCCTTTTTTGAAATCTATTTTATATACAGGGTGTCAAACGACATTTTTCCCAGGTAATAACTTCGAAACGCATCATCCAATATAATTGAAATTTGGAGGATCTGGGTAACTTTTTGTGCCGTTTCTACCATTGTCATCCAGTTTCACCACTTTCGCTCCAATTTCGGTCAAGTGACGTTAACTTCCGAATCTTAAATGTAACTCATGGTATATTATGGCATTTTTCGTTAGAAAATTAAATTACAAAATCGGCAATGCCATATTTGTTAAGGCATTGTTAAAGAAAATGATGGGAAAAATTACAGTGGAACATACGATGATGCGTTCCGAAGTTATCATTTGGGAGAAACCTCATGGGACACCCTGTATATTTTACGTATGTGTTGAATAGAGTTCACCGAAACTATCAAAAGTTTTCTACTTGGTAAAATATAAAAGACATAATTATGTTCGATTATTATTGGTTACTAATGGCTCCCAAGATTTGATTCGCATTTGAAGCATAGTGATTTTGAATCACTTTTTCTAAAAATTATTTGACTTGAACAAACTTTCCAAATTCGTATCTTTTTTTTATATGATTGATTCAAGGTAAAATATAGATAAACCATTATGCATTATTTTTTCCCTAGATGCAGTGTTGGCTTCGTCAGCAGGACCATCTACATCAAGTTTACATTTGCCTCAGCAGGAGCCCAAGTCTTTGCCAGAAGTTTCAGATAAGTCATCTACATCAAAAGTAGATTCAGGTGTACATCCGCCAGCTAGCCAGAAGACATCCAATTCAAAATGCACTTCATGTAATAAAAATTTACCGGAAATACTAAAAAAGTACAGACTGTTATATTTGAGGGAGAGAAGAAAAGTAGCACAGTACAAAAAGCTACTACAAATACAACATGAGAAACAGACTATAAAGAATGAATAAATTGAATTAATTCTCTGAACATGATTTGTAAGATCAATTATTCAACAGTGAATCGGATTCAAGCAAAAAAAAAGCTGAAAAGGAAAAAGCTACAAAATGGAGCACAACTTCAAGCACAACAAATTAGTTTAGTGATAACCAAAACAAATTTTGCCCACAGTATTAAGGCAAGTTGACACGGGTAGTGAAGCACGCTCGTGGGTAACGCTTTCGTGGATCACGCGTTCATGTCAACAGCAGAGTCGTGGAAGAAAAATGGAAACGAATTGATACGAAGGGCGCCACGATCGTGAGCAAGCAAATCAAACCTGTTCGATATTTGACGAACCATTTTCAGTGGATTCAGTCGTGAAAAAGCAGTCTGCCACTGAACAAGCAACAAAATGGCTGGCGGAAATCTACGAATGAGCGACGCAGAAACGTTGAAATTCTTTCTTCCTCTGAGTATCTGTACTGCAACGCCTGATGACCGAAATGCGCTGCTCCGGACCGGTCTCTGTTTTGAATCTATTCTCTCACCCACCATCTGCCCTGTCTCCTTTTTTTTAAATCACTCTTGTACGATTGGTAAGTTGTGAATATTGTGATATGAGATAAGGTCCTAATATTTCGCACATCAATGCACAACCTTCTGCTATCGATGAAGCCATATACCTAAGTTGTATTCCTTTCGAGAGTTTGGAACACTCGAGCTACTCGCTCCGATGTTAGTCGACCCCGATCTGAAAGGAACTGATGCGTGGTGCAACAAACACTTTTCGAAAGGAGTATGCGCGTAACGCCCCGGAGCTATTCCAGAGCTCCTCCTAGGTATTAAAGGAATACAACTATTGAAGACTGACGCTTTTCTTCAGCAAAAGCGAAGTCATTTGCACGACTGAACAAGAAACTCCGTGCCCAGTGTAAACACCACAGGATGCCTTCACGAAACGATTGTGAGCAAGCGTATTTCACGAATCATTTAAAGCGTGACCCGCGTGCTTCCTTCACTACCCGTGTCAACCCGCCTTTTGTGATACAAGTTTCAGAGATCCGAATTAGTTTTCTCAATCGCTTAAATGAACTTTTAGAGTCTCCATGATTATCATTTTATGATTCGGATTTTAATCGAGGAAGTGATTGAATTGTGTGAACATTTGCTGCGATATAGAATAAGTAAGAAACATTTTTGCGATCATTTGCAAATAACCAATTTGGGTTTGGAATCAAATATTTTCGCAAGACATATAGAATATAGCATATTTGAAAAATAGATTGGTAAGAATTCATATTTAAACAAATCAATATTTCTCATAATGTTCCTCCAATGCAGTGATTGTAGTAAGACTTTTACTCAAAAATGTAGTCTTAGCCGACATAAGACATTTTTTCATGGGGAAATGTCACTTCAAGGAATACTTATCGCTAAGCCTTCTCAAAAATGGTCTGTGCAAACGGCCATAAATCAATCATCTATAAACGTTTATGGTTTAGAGAGTGTTTATGAAGATTCCGAATTATGTTATGAGGTAGTTGGTCCTCTTCAATATACCGATTAGGAACTTCCAACTCATGTAAACTTATTGTTAATTAGAAAGGTAGAAACAATCATTATTGTTGGATTAAGGATATGTCAAGGTTAGTTGCATCTCAAATAAATAAAACAAGTTTTAGAAAATATTTGTACGATGGATGTTTCATTTATTTAAATTCTAAAAAAAACTAGATGCATTCTTCAGTTCGAATCAACTTAAAGTTCAATTTGTGATATAAGCCGATTTTGAGTATTTTTTGAAACCTCTACAATATGAAGAACCAACCAATGATAAGAGTTCTTTTACTTTAAACACATTTAAGCATGAACCATATTCTTTCGATTATTTCATTAAATGTTCATAATATGATGATTCTTTATAATAGTCCAAGAGAAAATTGGACAAAAAGGGTGGAATAATTGCACTTTTATTGAGAAAGGTGAAGTATAGAGGCCACCAGCAAAATGTAAAGGTAATCATTCATGTAAAAAAATCCATATTATTTTTTCAAAATGGGATATTCAGAATATTTGGAATCAAGGTTGAAAGGCTAATCCAATGGGACAATAATATACGGGGTTTTCCATCTAAAAACGTATAACTTTGAATCGCCACACTTTTGTGTCACACCCTGTATAAAGTTTTTTTTTTTTTTAAAGATAATTCCTTAAGTCAAAAATTTAGTAACTATGTTGGCAACACAAGCCTTTTCTACATAAAAAATTTGAAAGATTGACAATTTTACATTGTATTGCCAACATAAAGTCATTTTGACTTTTATCTATCTACATATTTGTGTGAACTACAATTTCGTTTTTTGTCGCGTGTTAACTTAATGAAATAATTTATCATTTGGTTTGTGAAAGACTCTAGGAAACGAATTTACAAGTTTTTGTAAAGTTTTTACTTCTTCTGAGTTCAAATGATCAGTACTTAAAAGGTTTAAGAATTTTTTTTTTATAATTCTCTTTTTAATCATTGGGTTTTTGGGTAATTATCTGTTCTGCCTGCATTAAACAATTGATAATTCTTTTCTTCAAATGGTTCACATATTTCTTGAATATCATCAATATGACAATCTTATGTGAGGATTTTGTCTTTTAGATTATTATACATCGGGGTATTTTACCATTTTTAATTGTATTGATAGGTAATGGAATATAATAATAATTTTCAGTAGATAATCAAAGGGGGTTCTAGCACAAAAATCCGACCATAACCTCAATCTTTCATTCTTGACACGTGGTGGATGCGCCGCCGTTGACACGAAGGTGGATGCATCGTCGGCGCCATCTTGTCAAACGTCATGGCGCCATCTAGCGTACATAGTGTGAAGTTCGTAATACAGGATGCTGTAGTTGGGACCCGTAGGGCTCCGCCCCCCAAAAAGGGGCCCCCGGATTTTAATATGGGTACCAGAAAAAGGGGTGGGGGGAAATGTTTTCCCGCCATTTTGTCAACCGTCACCTGTCAAACGTCATCTGTCAAACGTCACCTGTCAAACGTCATCTGTCACCTGTGATGACGTCATACCGGGTTATTGCGGTGAATTCTTGCAATTACAGGTTCCTGTAATATGGAGTGTGCGTGGAAGGGATTGTTCCGAGTCGTTTCGAAATCGCTACGTATATTTAATTAGGGTTCGGGTTCTGTGATGACGTCATAGCGACCTGGGTCACGTCCGTGGCGCTATTTAGAGTACATAGTGCAAAGTTCGATTCAGGGTTCGGGTTCTGTGATGACGTAATAGCGACCTGGGTCACATCCGTGGAGTCATTTAGAGTACATAGTGTCAAGTTTTTTGTGTCGTATAACAGGATGCTGTCGGGGAAATAAAAATCAAATACAATAAATATTGAACTGTTTATTAAAAAATTATAGATTATTAAAATAGATACAATTATCAGTGACCTTATTGATCAATTGATATAATATATACATAATATGAGTTAAAGAGAGATAGATAATACATTATTTCAAATATACAATTATTAGTGACCTTATTGATTAGTTGGCATAATATATACATAATACAAGTTAGGGAGAAAGAGATAGAACGATACATTATTTCAAATATAAAATTATTATTAGTGACCTAATTGATTAATTAACATAATATATACATAATACGAGTAAGAGAGAGAGAGAGATAAAATGATACATTATTCCAAATATACAAACAATTATTAATATTGACCTTATAAATTAATTGACAAAGTACATACATATACGCGTTAGAGAGAGAGAGAAAGAGAGAAAACATATTGATGCTCAACATTACTATACTTTTAATTCGTCACCAACATCAAGACTATAATGCCCCCAGGGAAGAGTATTGAAGGAATTGGGCACTAAGAAACGTTTATCGTCAGCTGGACTTAGTGCAATTTTTGATTGTTCAATGCTGAACACATTATGTTGAAAAGACCGAATGGTTCTCTGCGTTACGGTACTTTCTTTAAAATTTTTCAAACAATCAACGTAATCTTCAAATGCAATTTTATACTTGACTATATTTTTTTTGACGCCTTTCGATTTTTTCACAACTTTTCCCTTAAGGGTCTTGAAGCTGTACATTTTGGATCTCAGGCCTACTTGGTGAGTCATGATATCACCATTCAGTTCATCTTTCATTAAACCTAAAACCTTTTTATTGACCTGCGGTATGTTATATGGGTTATCTGGAGGGTAGTCTGAGGTATCGAATTTAGACAAGTCGGCTTTGATGACTTCTTCATATACATCATCGGTTTCGATGTCATATATGAAGCTGTCGGTGTCCATATATTGAATGTGACATTTTTCTGAATCTAATTTGGACAACATGTAGTCGTAGTGAAATGAATACATGAATATTTTCGAAATATCCAAAATCGACATGCCTACATACAATGGTTTGTTGAAAAATAGTTCGGCTTTCTTCAACTCAACCAACAATAAATCATCATCTAGAATGGTTCTACTATGAAATCTTGGACTAGATATTAAATTTTTCGCACCATACCGCCCTTCCCACGTCTTTACAAATTTCACAATCCTATGATTCCGTATGTTTTCCATAGTCTTTCCGAACACCGCGTTATTGAACAATTTGAAAAGATTTTTGTCAAAGTCATTCTTACTCTGTTTACGTAAGTTATTGTTATGCTCGATATAGGGCTTGAGCCACATTGACTGCTTGAATTTTAAAATCTTGTGAATTTTCTTCAGTACTAGGCCATGTTTCAGTGCCTGTTTTAAATTTCGATAATGTATAACATAGTTTTTCTTGTCGTACAGCGTGGTCATTAATTTCGGTAACTTTGAATTTGGCGGCTTACGATGTTCTGCCGCGAATGGTAAATCTTTATGCAAATCATGTAAATGCCTAGGATATTCCAAATCTACTTCTAGGATGTAGCCCTCTGGAGAATCGTCTTCCACTGCCATAACATCAAAATTTTTAAGGTCGTCGTCGTCTCCGTCTACCCAGTCAAAACCACCGTA